GATACTTGGTAGTAAGGGTTTAGGGAGTGTGGATATTTGGTAGTGAGGGTTTAGGGAGTGTGTTAGAGTGTTAATTAGGGTTTACGGAGTGTGAGTGTTAATTAGGGTTTAGGGAGTGTGAGTGTTAATTAGGGTTTAGGGAGTATGTTTATATTAATTAGGGTTTAGGGAGTGTGAGTGTTAATTAGGGTTTAGGGAGTGTGAGTGTTAATTAGGGTTTAGGGAGTATGTTTATATTAATTAGGGTTTAGGGAGTGTGAGTGTTAATTAGGGTTTAGGGAGTGTGAGTGTTAATTAGGGTTTAGGGAGTGTGCTTATATTAATTAGGGTTTAGGGAGTGTGTTTATGTTAATTAGGGTTTAGGGAGTGTGAGTGTTAATTAGGGTTTAGGGAGTGTGAGTGTTAATTAGGGTTTAGGGAGTGTGTTTATATTAATTAGGGTTTAGGGAGTGTGAGTGTTAATTAGGGTTTAGGGAGTGTGTTTATATTAATTAGGGTTTAGGGAGTGTGAGTGTTAATTAGGGTTTAGGGAGTGTGAGTGTTAATTAGGGTTTAGGGAGTGTGGATATGTGTTAATAAGTGTTAGCGTGGTGGTTCTGAAAGCACTGACTCGGACACCGTTGTTTCATAAAATGTCTTTAATGTAATTAATTAGTAATATTTTATAGCTAATTTACAACAGGCGTTTCACTGAAATATAACTTTAATCCGCTTCACTTCATCATAGAGATATTTCTCATTCTCTCATTCTCTCATTCTCTTATTCTCTTGCAAGGTAAATGATCTTTAATACACTGGTAATGCCTGGTATACAGTCCGTTCGCTGTAGTCATGATAAAATAGAAAGAAATCGATATGAAAACAGAAGTGGAAAAGTCGGGCAGAGATGTGAGCAGCTCGAGTTCTCAAATCAGAGCCGAATTCACACCGAGTGCAAAATAATCCCAGTGTGAACTGAATCAGTACCCGAATCATCCTGGTCATCTGGTGTGATCTGCGTGGTCAGTGCCTGGACTCTGAGTCTGAGTGAGGACTGAACAGCCTGTCGACCCACATCAGGGAAGTCCTGCTGGGCTGTGGGTGATGAACCTGTAGGCTTATGTTTCAATGGAATGATGCATTCTGGGTACTGTAGTTCAGCTGAGAAACATGTAGTCAGTTCAGCTGAGAGGTGTTTTGTGGGTACTTTAGGTCAGCTGAGAGGTGTATTGTGGGTATTGTATTTCAGCCAATATGTGTATTGTGGGTACTGCAGTTCAGCTGAGCGGTGTATTGTGGGTATTGTGGTTCAGTTGAGAGGTGTATTGTGGGTACTGTGGGTATTTAGTTCAGCTGAGAGGTGTATTGTGGGTATTGTGGGTATTTAGTTCAGCTGAGAGGTGTATTGTGGGTACTGTAGTTCAGCTGAGAGGTGTATTGTGGGTATTGTGGGTATTTAGTTCAGCTGAGAGGTGTATTGTGGGTATTGTGGGTATTTAGTTCAGCTGAGAGGTGTATTGTGGGTACTGTAGTTCAGCTGAGAGGTGTATTGTGGGTACTGTAGTTCAGCTGAGAGGTGTATTGTGGGTATTGTGGTTCAGTTGAGAGGTGTATTGTGGGTACTGTAGTTCAGGTGAGAAGTGTATTGTGGATATTGTGGGTATTTAGTTCAGCTGAGAGGTGTATTGTGGGTACTGCTGTTCAGCTGAGAGGTGTATTGCGGGTATGTAGTTTAGCTGAGAGGTGTATTGTGGGTATTGTGGGTATTTAGTTCAGCTGAGAGGTGTATTGTGGGTATTGTGGGTATTTAGTTCAGCTGAGAGGTGTATTGTGGGTACTGTAGTTCAGCTGAGTAAGTTCAGTGTAGTGTAGTGTAGTTTTGGCTCAGATGCATGTGAGTCGTATGAATATGCCCTGATTCTACAGAAGTATTCAAAGCCCCATAAGAGTACAGTCACAAACGTCTCTATGTACAGTAGTATAGTCAAACCTGACGGTATTATTCCTTTACAATATACAAAACGAACTCTCGGCCCCGACCCGTACAGGAAAATAAGACCCAAACAAAGAAACCCCAATAAATTAGAGTGGATTATAAATAAACCGTCTAAAGCCTGTTCCTCACAGGGTTATTACGCTCTTCAGCCTCCGGTCCCTAAACGCCAGCCTTAGTTTCTCTCTCGTCTTCCGTTCCGTCCCTCATTCGCTCCTCAGGAGGAACGTCCTCAGCGCTGAGGCGCCGCTGGGTGATAACGTGGCATTTATTTTAAAGCGACAGTTCAACGAAAACACAGTTTACAGTTTCACCTCTTAAACCAAAC